CAGCCGGCTAATGAAGGAACAGGCTGTTTGCTCTGCCACGACAGGAGGCCGATGATTGAGACAGACACAAAAGGAGGGGGCTGGTGTTCTTCAAGAACTCTGGTTATTTAAGACGCAGACCGAGAACAACAGGAAAATAACTAGAAAAACACTTGAAACAAAGAAGAGATCACTGTGACACACAAAGTTGTCTAACTTTAAGAACAAGACCAGCACATTTGAGAAAGTGAATAGAAGATTGGTCACTATGAAATCTGAGGAAATGGTGGATGCTACTTCTTCACGTATGACCAGACTCTAAGCCACACTGTAAGACTGTGTTTGTCATTCTTAGAATAAAAGCCAGCTTCTTGCTTTTAATAACACGTAAACACCAAAATGTTGGCAGACCTCAAAAAGTTAACACAACTGAATCTCTTGCTGTCGTTTAGTTGATTAACTTAAAGACAAATGTTGTCAGAATTTGACTTTGATTACTTATCATTATTGAGTACTGAATGATTGATACAGAATCATACACACTCGCAAAGTAAACAGAGGAGGCCTTGTTGAAGCCCACTGCCCAATAACAAGTCTGATGCTATTCGATTGTATTGGCACAGCTTTTCCCAGTGTACAGGGCTAAGAGACACACGTTGTGGCCATAGCACCATGTAATTCAACAATTACACAACAATTACAAGCCCTCACAGAGTCAACAAAACAGGCATTGACAAATTCTTCTTCATAGAAAACAAGTCCCTTAGATTCAGGAGTTCTTCAAAGTGCTCTTTCCAACACTCAACAGCACAGCTAGTGAAAGTGACACCATCTGTTCTCTTGCTAAACAGAAGTTTTTGCTTTTTGTAACTGCAGGCAATACCTGCTGATATGTACCTGCTAAATTACCCAAGAATCAATCAGGTCAACACCAGAGTCCCTGGGAGGGATTCTTTCTAAGACCCCTTAAAATCTCACCTACAATTTCAACAAAGCCTAAAATTAATGGCTTATCTTTTGGTTTAGTACAGCCAACAGCTAAAGTGTGTTTCCAGTCTTTGCGCTACAGACTTTCTGGATGAATCCCAGCCTGTAAATGCACTGACACTAAGCTGACTCAAACAGCTTGACTTTGGGGGGAAAATTCAAATAAAGACTTGCATTTCTGCTCACATATTATACGAGTAAGCACAGCGTTATAGCGTTAGTATTCTATAGGGGACACTGCACTCACTCCCATTTGTATTCCAAAGGCTTCCTATCACCTGAATGTTACCCCATCTTCTAAATCCACCAGGAGTAAAACCAAACAGTTTTCACTTCATTTTAACAGTCCGTCCCTGGTTTACTGCTTTGTAGCCCAAAATTTGTCCGCACATGCACGCACTCACACGCTCTCACATGCACACTTTGTTCTGACTGGTTTCATTCATCAAAAGTGTTTGCAATGTAAAATCAATGTTTGAAGGACAATGAAGAGTAAAGTGAAAGTGAAACAGAAGATGCATCTAAAGGCTCATCTGATGTAATTATCAGTGATGCATTAAACCAAATCAGATGACATTTACAGAATAACCCTGAAGGCAGCACCGTTTATAGGATCCTTCTCCTGGACTGTATGAGACACAAGACACTGAGTTATGTGTCACTTGCATGGACTGATTAGAAAAGATGGCAGCCACTGTGAAGTCACCTGTTGGTTACTAATGTCTAATCCTGACTTGTAATCAGAAGGTAGACTACAGCATAACCTGATTCATCGTGGATTTTAAACTAAAGATTAATTTAATTAATTAAAGATTACCAGATCCAGGTCTTACGACATGCTGTATTGCAAGAACTTAAACTAATTGGGAAAGGTAAATAGTCTCCTTTTCATTTTCTTCTATACAGTTGAACTTATCTTTGCAACCAGAGGGTGGTGGTAACACTAATGCCTCACAGCAAGCGGGTTCAAACCACATGCATGGTTGTCTGTCTGTGTTAGCCGTGTGATATATTGGCAACCTGCCGGGGAGTACATAAGACTCTACGACAACTGGGATAGGCTCAAGTCACCCTGAACCCAGTCAATGGAAATACAATAAGCTTTGTAAAGGTTTTGTTTAACACAGATAGCAAATGTTCCTACAGATCCATTTTTTTGGCTAATGTGTATTTGTATCAGCAGCTCCTTATTAACGAGCACACACCATCAGAAGAGCAGAATGAAATTTTTTACAGATGACGTTTGCCACTAACGAGCACAAACAAATCCTGAGTTTCTCAGATGATCAACATGTTACTCAAATCACCGACATGATCATTTGTATTGAATTCCAAACAAGGAAAAACGGACCTATTAGTGATCTCAGACATGTGGGCCCCTCGGTGTGTACTGCATGTGTTGTCTTGATGGTGTTTATTGTATACTTTAGAAACAGCTCTGAGGGTTCCTGTTACATCAAGATTTCATCAGCCTGACATCACAGACCAACAGTACAAAGCTGTTTCTGGAGCCTGAACACAGCATTTGGTTCATCAGCTGCCTCTGCAGCTCTAAACTGTCAGAGAGAAATCAAAGGCCAAAACACTTCTGTTCAAACACCAGTCAGACAAATCAAACACAGCTGATTCCCATTAGAGAAATCATGATCTGTCCATGTTCAAGTCGACAAGACATCAGCACCAAAGGCCAGAAATCCTGAACCTGCTGTGGGAAACAAATCAAGGAGGGGACAAGTAATACCATGTGATATGTGGTTGCATTTTGTAATTAATTTTTGTATGTTTTGTAGAGTTTTTGTGTGTAATTTCGTTAAATAAAGGCCTTAATTTTCTGATCTTCTGACAGATTGAGAGTAGTGTAAGTGCTCAAGTTATGCCACAAGGTGGCACCTCCCATAAGTAATAAAATCACCCATGAATTATGATTTTTTGCGATTTTGTTTATATTATTTGACTTTATATCGGTTTCTATTCCACTTTATTCTGATGTTGGTAAGAGAGGAAAACGCACGACTTGTGGACCGTCTCACTGTTTCTCTGTTCTTTTCAGAATAAAATATACTCTGTTGGCAGGTTTCACAGAAGACACTTGTTACAAAACCAACGTTTTTACAACAAATACCTCATTGAAGTTTTGAAGGGCCCCCTTGAAAACTTCAAAAGAGTCCAGGCCCATATTTGCATTTATTTCCTTTTGAAGTGGATGAATTATGTATCTGACAATAACATTTAAGCTTGTGCTCCCAAATCTAACTCATTTTGTTTTTCATAAATCACTTCATCTGTCATGAACTGGCCATGTGAAGCAGGCAGGAGAGGACCCAAACACAGACTCATGGAGGTGAAAATGAACTCAAAAATACAACTTTATTAACTAAACTTGGAATATATATAAAAAAGTAAACAGGCAGCGAGGCAGAACACATGGCGGGGAATGAGGGAGAATGCAACGCTGGACAAAGGGAAACAATAAGCTTAAATACAGGAGGACTGAGAAGGGAACAGAACACATGGGGAACACAGCTGAGACAAATTACACACAACGAGACAGAGGAAGCAAAACTAAACACATTGAGACTGTCAGAATAAAACAGGAACATATGAGACGTAGGCTGTAACAATAGGGCATGAAACACATGACGGACTGGGGAAATGTAGGATAAAAATGGTAGACGTGGAAACATGGAAGAAACACAAGGAAGGGAAACAAGACACAAAGACACACACAAACCCACATAAACACAGACACATCAACCACCTGCAACTCAACCTTGGTGAGTGGCTTATTTGACTATGCTTTATAAACTTCCTTCTAATTTCCAATCTATAACAAACCCAGTGTGCAGTGTTGTGTGTTCAGTGTGGGAAAAGTGTGATTCCGTGGAGAATAATCTGCTCTGGCTCTGTCACCTCAGTATGTATGACTGAGAGGAGGTGACAGTGTCTCCTCCTCCATCTGCTCCCAGCAGACTGAGAATGTAAAAAGGTGGCCCTCTGCCCACCTCGCTGTCAGAAGGTGAGAGCCAGGATAACAAATCAAACACCATCATGCCTTTAAGAACAAGGAGGATGTGCAGATGTGTAACGAGGCATATCATGAAGCTACGGGACAGAACTGTTGAAGCTACAGTGCTATGAAAAAGTATTGGCCCAGTATTCAAGTATGTATGCAGCCACTCCTGGTTTTAACCATCATGAAAATAAGATAAGGAGGAATCTTTGTCTGCATTTCTTTGTAGGCATTCATACTCTTCACACTGAACAGGAATATCAGGAACTGTCGGGATCGAGTCACCAAATGAAACAAATAACAACCACTCAGACGCCAAATGACAGCATAAAGCAGAGGTCAGTGTGAAATTAGGATTCAAACTTTGTTATCTACCTGTTATCTTTTTACATCAATTAAATTACGTACATACACGTGTGTAAGTGAAAGCAGCTTCCTTGTAAATGCACTGGAACATGAGTTTATGAAAGATGTGCCTTTGCTAGTAGAAAGATGGCTGCACACTGCAGAGATTTTAACAACATATGGGCTTCTACATATTTAGTTAATGAAATCAGAACTTCAGTTTGTGGAAAACAGATAGTTGTGTTTGAGTATCATAATCTGAATTATTCAAAGCTGAAATTTAATGGAAGAGAAATTACAGAACAATATTGCATCTGAAGGGCTACTAAATAAAAAAAATACAGTCCTCTTCAGTGTGAAAAATGAAGGACAAAATAGGGTACGCTCACAGTAAGACTACATTGTGGATGATATGTCCGTACTGACATAGGGAAATGCAGCATAGCTCGAGCGCACACACTGGGACTAATCCATGCAGTATGCAAAGTGTGACGCCTCAAAGGCATTTATGTCATTTATCTTTAAAATAATTCATTTGTATGTATTTAAGTTAGAAAGAACAGTAAAAGGGTTTTCAAAAATGTTAAGTAAGAAGATTTTATTTTGAAGGTGAACTTGCTAATAACCTCACTTCCTGGTGAGTTACCTGTATTGGTTCATTTTCACACGCTCCTTCCTGTTTACTTCCTCTTCCTGGTTGCTCTAAGAGGGAGAGTGACATGTGGTCATGCTCTGAGGCTTATCCACAGCCATCCACTTGGGAACATTGTTCAGGCAACGCTGTAAGTGTATATATTTCATGATGAAGGTGTTAAGAAAGTATGAATAGCAGTAGTTGTTAAAAACGATATTTTATTTGTAGTTCATGAAGGTTGATTTGTACGTGTTAAAAAAGGCATTCGTTTTGATGATCATTACTGTTGCTCAAGCTAATACGAAGATGTAAAGTCATATTTTGAGTTCTTTCGTGATGCAATATTTATGTAAACATGGTCATTTTTTCTATTCTGTATTTCTTTTCAACTACAGTTACACTACACTGCTTGTCAAATGAAGATTCTTAGAGTAAAAGGTCAACTCTACTCAGACTCCTGTATTCATTGACAAAGGTTTAGCTTGGTGTTTAATCAGAGTTGCTACACTCTGCAACAGAACACTACAGTGAAAAGGCGGCACTCGATGTTCCTATCCGTTTGAGATGGCAGCAAGCAACAAGTCATCGGTATCAAATACCAGGAGCAACATGACATCAGCATCATCTGTAAGTGCGGCTCGTGCCAGAGCTAAAGCAGAAGCTGCTAAGGTAGGAGCATCATATGCTAGCCAGGAGGCTAAATTAAAACTGGAAAAGGTGTTAGAGAAGCAGAAAGGAAAACTAGATAAGCTCAAAATCAGTTGGAAACTGCTAGAATGGATACAGAGCTGGAAGTGCTAACATTAAATCGTGAATCAGACGCAGCCATCACTGAAGCACAGGTGTTAGAAGATGTAGCAGAAATGCATGGAAATATAGAAAATGTGTGCTTAAATTGCAACATATTAGTGAATATGTTTGCTCTCATAATGATCAGAATCAGTCTACCTTTGCACCAGTATGTGTCCCACTTGTTAAATCTGTAGATTATGCAGAATCACAAGATCGTTTCAGAACATGGCATCCACCTGCAAGCTTAGCGGAATTCCAACATAGGAATAGCAAGCCCATGACTGAAACGGGTGATGGGACACATCCACCCACAACAAATCTGTCTAAAGTGACCAAAGCTGAATCAAAGACTGACATCAAAAGGACAAACCCTCGCAAATATATAGGTGCTCAGTCACAAACACCCCGGCATATGCTTTCAATGAGCGTGTCACAACCACCACACCCTCTTGCACAGTATTTGGCGTGACGTGATGTTGTTACGTCAGGACTGTACCAATTTGATGATAAGCCAAAGAATTTCCGTGCATGGCGGTCCTCATCCACTAATGCCGTGGCTGAAGTTCAACTTACAGAAACACAAGAGTTAGACCTCATGGTTAGGAAAAGAGTCTGGACAGCAAATAAGATGCATACACTTGGTGCACGTGAATGATGCTGGTTTGGCTCTGCGCAAGGCATGGGAGAGACTGAATGGCTGCTATGGTGCCCCTGAGATGATTGAGAAGTCACTGTTTCAGAGACTTGACAGTTTTCCAAAAATTATGGCCAAAGATCACATCAGATTACGTGAACTTGGGGATTTGCTCATGGAGATACAAGGTGCCAAGGAGGATGGATATCTCACCAGTCTGTCGTATCTAGACACCTCCAGAGGTATTGCACCCACAGTAGACAAGCTTCTATATGGGCTCCAGGAGAAGTGGGTGTCATCTGGGTCATGGTACAAAGAGGAGAACAACGGTTGCTTTCCTCCCTTCAATTACTTTTGTAACTTTGTGTGTCATGAGGCGAGGAAGCAAAATGACCCCAGCTTTATTCGTTTTTTTTTCTCTTTGGCTCTTGGCGAAGGCGGTCGCATTTTTCTCCTCTCCTTTTCTCAACGAGAAGTCTGGGCTCGGGTGAGCCTGAGTGCTGAAGATATCTACCTTTTCGGAACCATGATAACAGGGTTCTTGCTGATCGGAGCTGGCTTGGCCCTGGCTTATCGAAGATTAAAGAAAGCGGAATCGACTGTTCAAAACCCCACAAGGCTGCCCGCTGGGATTGAATTGATGGGACGAGTGGTGAGTTCTCAAAATGGGCTCATTGAGCGCAGCACGGATAAGATCTTGGAGAAGCTTAAGGCTGCCGTGAACACTCAGAATAAGACCTCTGAGCGAAAATTGATTACACCTTGGAGAAGCCCACTGCGGTCGTGAGTTCTCAGAAATTGCTCTTTGAGCACAAGAAGGACAACATCACGGAGCGTAAGTTTGATAACATCATGGAGAAGCTCACAGCTCTCCAACAGGAGATTGAGAAACCAGTGTTGGACTGTTAGAACAACTCACATGAGTTGTTCACATTAAAGTAAAAACCACCATCACTTCATGCAGCTACCACTTCAGCGCCAGCTGCGGTCTCAAGGCTGGAGCTGAACAAAAACACCCTGACAACAAACTGTGCTTAGACTGTTCCTCCCTTATGCAAGGCCACCTGGGTTGGCTGGAAGACTGTTTACTTAGTCTGGCAGGGCGAAGGACACTGTCTCAGCTGAATTTTGGACACACACACACACACACTGATACACACTCATCCCCCCTCCCTTTCCGAACGCCTTCGATGCATGTCCCCTCCCGGGGAAGATGGCGGTTGTATAGGAATTTCTTTCATTTAGGTATTAATCACATTATTTTATTGTATTAACATGTCTGACACTCATACTGTAAGATAAATGGTGGGGGGTCTAGTAAGGAAGCAGACAACTCCACAGGAAAGAGTCTTTTGTCTCTTCGAGGACTCTGGGAGGTAGCAAGGGAATGTGAATCTTAAGGTGTGAAACAGCTGTGTACTGCCTTTTGCAAACCAAGTCTACCACCCACAAAAGCCCAACCAAATCAGGGTAGTTTTTGATTCCAGTGCTCAGTACTGCGGGGTCTCTCTCAATGACGTGCTTCTGACTGGTCCCGACCTTAACAATTCTCTCTTGGGTGTCCTTCTACGCTTCTGAAGGGAGAGAGTAGCTATCCTCGCTGACATCCAACAAATGTTTCCAACGGACTCAGGCTTCACTGGCTGAATCGAACCTCTGCTTGCACAAGTTTGTGTCAAACAGTCCAGCAGTCACTGGAGCTTTCCTGCCAGAAGATTGTGTCCCACTCATCAAGGATCTGGATTTGAGTGGGGAGACAGCACCTATGCAGTGCAGCCTGGGTTTTCTGTGGGAGATCAGAAAAGATACATTCACATTCTCTGCATCAACTATTATCAAATCTTTCACCCGACGTGGAGTCCTCTCTATCATCAATAGTGTTTTTGATCCGATGGGTGTGCTGACACCTGTCACAGTCCAGGGAAGAGCTCTTCTTAGGGAACTTACTTCGGAACTGACTGACTGGCATGCACCTCTCCCAGAGGACAAGCTGAAGAAATGGGAGAGATTCTCTTCAAGTCCTAAAGGAGCTTCATGTGCCACGTGCATACACATCAACCTCACTCCCCAAAGCTGTACACACAGAGTTGTGTGTAATCTCGGATGCCTCAACTATGGTCATTGGGGCCATCGCTTACTTGAGAGCCATTCAGGAGGATGGAAAAGTGGAAGTAGGATTTGTTATGGGCAAAGCCAAATTAGCACCCCAATTTGAACCAACCATCCCAAGGCTCGAACTCTGCGCTGCTGTCCTTGAAGTAGAAATGGCAGATCTCATCCGGGAGGAGCTGGATCTGAAATTGGATGCTGTCAGGTTCTACACAGACAGTAAGGTGGTACTCGGATACATTTGTAATATGACAAAATGCTTCTACACATATGTCCATAATAGAGTCCAACGTATCCAACAATCTACCAGACCAGAACAATGGCATTATGTACGCACGGAAGCAAACCCTGCAGACCATGCATCCAGATCTTTGCCTGCATCCCATCTGGCACAGAGTTCTTGGTTCACCGGACCTTCATTCCTGCATCAGTTATCTGCAGAAACAACACAAACTGGTGAGACGTTTGAGCTCATCGACCTAGAAAATGACTCAGAGATTCGACCACAGGTACACACATACATTACTCATCTGGAGGAATGTCTCATCAGTGTTGGAGGCGGACTGAAACATTCTCAACTTATGTGTGAAGAAAAGAACCCAGTAATCCTACCTAAGGACAGCCACGTTTCCTTACTGCTCGTATGACATCACCATGAGCAGGTGAGACATCAGGGTCGACATCTCACAGAAGGCGCAGTAAGGGCAGCTGGACTGTGGATTTTGGGTGGTAAGCGACTAATCAATTCAGTCCTACACAAATGCGTAATCTGCCAGAAGCTGGGTGGGAGACCGGAAGAACAACGTATGGCTGACTTACCAAGGGAACATCTCAAGGTTTGCCCTCCCTTCACATACGTTGTTTTTGACGTCTTTGGGCCTTGGTCTGTTGTAACCAGACGCACCAGAGGAGGACAGGCAGAGAGCAAACGGTGGGCCATGATGTTTAGTTGTTTGAGTTCAAGGGCCGTCCACATTGAGCTGATTGAGTCTAAGGACACATCTAGCTGTATAAACGCTCTTAGGTGTTTCTTCACTGTCAGAGGCCCTGCAAAGGAACTCCAGTCTGATTGTGGGACCGACTTCATTGGAGCTAGCAAGGAGTTGGAGATGGACAATACTGTACAGGGGTACCTCAGCAAGCAAGGATGTAGCTGGAACTTCAGACCCCCACATGCTTCCCACATGGGAGACTCATGGGAACGGATGATTGGTGTTGCCAGGAGAATCCTTGATTCAATGCTCTTGCAGCAAAAGAGTCGCCTAACCCATGAAGTGCTGTCAATGCTAATGGTAGAAATCACAGTTATCATCAATGCACGTCCACTCCTACCTGCGTCTACAGACCCACACCAACCTTTCATTCTTTCACCTGCCACGCTCCCCACACAGAAATCAGGAGTTCCACCTCCTCCTGGAGATTTCACAGATAAGGACGTCTTCACAAAACAATGGAGGCAGGTTCAAGCGCTTGCAAACCAGTTTTGGGCCCGTTGGAGCAGAGAATACCTACCATCCTTACAACAAAGACAAAAACGGACAGTGACACGCAGAAACCTTCAGGTTGGGGATCTGTTTCTCCTCAGGGACAATTGGACTGTCTGCAACTATTGGCCCATGGCTATACTCACAGCAACTTTTCCTGGGAAGGATGGACATGTGAGAAAGGTTGAGGTAAAAACGACTGACCAAGGTGACACAAGAACCTTCCTAGGGCCAGTTGCAGAAGTAGTTCTTCTTCTGCCTAAGGACTGATTTAAGGACTGTTGTTTGGACTCATTCAAGTTCATAGTGGCCTCACATAGGCCAGGCGGCGAGTGTGATGCCTCAAAGGCATTTATGTTCATTTATCTTTAATGTTTGCTTATTAATTCATTTCCTGTTTAATTCCTCTTCCTGGTTGCTCTAAGAGGGAGAGGACATGCGGTCTTGCTCTGAGGCTTATCCACAGCCATCCACTTGGGAACATTGTTCAGGCAACGTCGTAAGTGTATATATTTCATGGTGAAGGTGTTAAAAAGGCATAAATAGCGGTATTTGTTAAAAATTATATTTTATTTGTGATTCATGGAGGTTGATTTGTACGTGTTAAAAAAGGCATTCGTTTTGATGATCATTACTGTTGCTCAAGCTAATACGAAGATGTAAAGTCATATTTTGAGTTCTTTCGTAATGCAATATTTATGTAAACATGGTCATTTTTTCTATTCTGTATTTCTTTTCATCTACAGTTTTCACCGCTTGTGAATTCTGAGGGTAAAAGGTCAACTCTACTCGGACTCCTGTATTCAGTGACAAAGGTTTAGCTTGGTGTTTAATCAGAGTTGCTACACTCTGCAACAGAACACTACACAAAGTCTATGTGGAAGGTAAAGAGACCAAGGTTTTGTTCACTGTTCTTAGAAAATGAAAGCCTTTTAAAAGTTCTGATCTCTTCAAAGTTGCAGATTCTCATGATGACATCTGTAGCCGGGACGTCTGTCCTGTACCACATAAGTGTTTGTTGCTAAACCTCAGAATGCTCTTCTGTTGACGTAGCACACCTTAAAAATGTTAGTCTTTGTGTACCTTTGTGTATCTCTCATTAATACTTTTTCATTTTCCTTATGTGAATGGTAAAGAATTTTGAATCTGCTGCAAATAAATATAATACTACAAACAAACTGAGGAAAGAGAGGAAATGTTCACACTGAGAATTGCGATGCTCTAAAATTACACATTTCATGTCCATGAATTTTCTTTCTACAGTATGACATTAACACAGTGTCATAAACAGTTGGTGTGAAAAGACACAAATGACAAAGACAAAAAGCCTTTAACATTAATACACAGGCAGGAGATTCTCTGCTAGGAAGAGAAAGAAGCTAAGTAATATAGTATGAGAACATAGTAAGAAGAATGAAAGAAAGCCTCTAATGTAGGACGTAAAAACAGTAGTGCAATGGGAAATGTACTGCGAGGAAGCAGAAAGGAAGATTTGGGTATGAGGAGAAAAAGGAAAAAAATCAGAGGGAAAAACAGCCTTTTAAGTTCAGGAAGCAAGAAGTTTTCCTACTTAAGAAGGAATTAAATAGGAAGGATTTGAATTAGGTAGCATGGATGAGCAAAGCATCCTTTCCAGTTAAGCAGGGAGGAAGAAATAAGATTTCCTTTTCAAACGAGACAAGATGAATGAGAGCTTAGAGTTAGACTGAGGAAAGTAAGGAAAAATTAATTTCCTCTCCTTTTCATTTTCCTTTAATTTACATAATGTTAACCCCAGACTTGATCTAAAGCTAACCTGATCTATGACAGTGTGTAAATCTGCAAATACTGGCTTGATGCATTTAACAGAAATGATCATTTTTCAGTCAATAAATTATGAATTTAAATTAATGATAAATTATAACACAAGGTTGTTTCCTTTGTGGAATAATGACTCCATAGTGTAGTGATTTACACACACAGTCACCTAATAAGTGAAAGCCCCGTGGTTTAAGACTAGGAGACACCATGAGAAGGACGCGTCAGGATGAGCATCCGATGTAAAAAACAAACAAACAACCAAACTTCTAAATTAAACATGTGGATCCATCCAGTGTGGCAACCAACAGTGAATGTGGGAGCAGCTGAAATTTGTTTAATAGGCAAAAATCTTAATTTGTGTTTCCTTTGTTGAGGAATTTTTCTTCTAACTTCCTCTAAAGCACTCAATCTGAGGCGGTCCTCTGATGTACTCATTTCTAATCTTGTCCATTTTTAGGTGCAGTTGGTCTGGCTGAAGTGTGGGAGGTCCCTGATCCACCCAAAGGGTGGAGAAAGGTCCGCTAAACCCATCCTGGTGTCAGAGTTAGAGCCTTCAAGTAAAACAGTACTTGTGCTGGGCTATGACAAAAGACTCTCCAACGAGGCTGAATTAAAACAATTCTCTGAGGAAGAGTGGGCCAATATTCCTTCACAGTGATATTAAAGAGCAGTGGCGTGTCCAGCGGGGTGGCCTGGGGGGGCACAGGCCACCCCCCCAACCAGACTGGCCACCCCAGGTGCCACCCCAAAGGCAAAACAATAAAATTCAATCAAATATCAAATGTCCGATTATGTTTTCACGGTGAAGCTCAGATATCCGAGTGTAAGTGAATGCAGCATCGGCTTCTGCGCTATGTGCATCACGTTAGCAAAGGTAGGAGAGCCAAGCACGAAAGACGGCACTGCAGGAAACAATTTTTCGGTGAAAGAAAATGAGGACAGAATAAATGTCCCGGTAAGTAATATTAAGTTTGTTGAGTTTAGTAAACTTCGGTGAAATTAGAATACCAAGGAAAAAATAACACTTAAAGAATTATTGCAGCCGTCGAATATATCAGACAGTATGCTACTGAGGGCAGCTAACATAAGAGTTATGAGTTATAAGATATAATCTAAGTCGTAACATTGCTGTATGGAGCTGCAGATTTGGTTGCAGGTTAACATAGCTGGACTGGCCATCGGGCATACCGGGCATATGCCCGGTGACTTATTTTTTATTTTTTTTGTAATGGCATGAACAATGAGAGGTGGTGGATTGGCCAGATGCAGGTCGATGTGTAAAAATAACTCAGTTGTTTGGTGGTGGCTATGGCGGGGCTTCCACAGAGGCCAGCAGGTGGATGAGGGAAGGGGAGGCAGGAGGAGAGCCCCGAGGCAGCCGCCAGTCCGAGTGTCAGGTGAACTGAACTTCAGGTAAGAAGTTATGACCTGCAGTCTATCTGGGTCAGATATAAACCAAGTTTAGGTGGAGTTTATTTTCGTTGTGCTGACTTTTTACCGTCAGTTGCAATAACTCGTACTGCGTTCTAGCCAGCTTGACGGAGTTTTTATACAGCTGGGTGGGTGCTATGATGTTACTGATAGTGAACTTTATTTTATTCATAAGGTTAGTTAGTACAGTTGCCAACGGCTCCTTAAAAAAATGGAATGGTCCCTCAATCAGAGAAAATATTACACGTTTTGTATTGAGCTGAGAAGAGACGCAGTTTGTCCCGGACTTTCGCTATAATGAAAAAAAGACACAAAGCTGGAGTTATTCTGGCGTTACGCTGCACAGCTGCCTCTTCTTCTCTCATTCTCTCCCCTCTCTCTCCTGTTTCTACTTCAATCATGAAACTGATCAATGATCAGCTGATCGGCTTTTCTCTCTTGTTTATTTATCGCCCACTTTGCGCCAGAAAGAGGAAACCACCGGATGTCACGTTAAACAACATCAGCATGTTTGATCAGCTGTTGTTAGAATTTATTTAATATTAATTTCTAGTATCAGCTGATGTTTGTTGGAGCCACAGCTGTAAAAGCTGCTGGTCATGATGTCGGTTTGGATATGTGGTGAGATTTAATTTAAAATATCTAGCTTTTATTAAATAATTATCTAAATCTTACAACCAAAGTTTTTATCTGACGTAAAATGTATAGAAATCATACATATACCAAAAAGACTGTACATCACTGTCACAACAGGGTTTGTTTTCATTCAAAGTCTTTATGGCTTTAATACCTGGTGGGCCGGTCTGTAGTCAAAATGCCCGATTTTCTGTCCCAGTCCAGTCCTGCAGGTTAATACTGGCAGTGTCACCATGCCAGCTGACTGTATTTCATCATCAGCCAGTGTTGTTCTTTATACATCAATATTACCAAAGTTTACCATAAGGCAGCATAGAAAGTATTTACTTGCTTTCAGGTTTTATTCAAATGTTAGTCTTTTCAGTTGTTTCCCCACATTTTTCCTGTTTCAAAATCAAACACCAGTTTGTGAGGAGATTATCTTCTTTTTTTGTAACAGGCAGATAAAGTTTTGCATTGGCATTGGCTAATTTGTCAATTGTTTCTTACAAATGTTCGTATTTTAATATTCAAAAATGTTTTTGCCCAAAACATATGTGCACTATATGTCAGTAAAAATACTATGCAAATATTGATGTCCTTAACTGCTGAATAAACACTGACTGATTGTATCTCTTGTACTTTATCAACGCAGTATCTAAAAACTTTGCACCGTAGTGGTTAAAATCTCATTCTAATAAGAGTTAAAAGCGCATTCGGTTATTAGGTTTACAGGGTTATTGAATTATGGCTAATGGTTGGTAGAATTTTTTTTAAACATTATCTGCCAATTACATCTGCCACCTTTCTCCAAATCTGTGCCCCAACCTGCCCCCCCCCAACAAAAAAGTTGTCGCAAATGCTTGATTGCAGTTCTTGCTGTAAGGCTGGCACAGCAATTTCTACTACAGTAGGGGCAGTTAGGTTTAGATAGCTTCTTCTTTGTGTGATATTAAAATGTGTTTGTAATTTCCAAAAAATATTCAAACAAATAAGAGCAAAGGGGGCAAATACTTTTTCATAGCTTCAACACCTCTTTCCCATAGTTTCATGGTATGCCTCGTTAACTTTATATTTAAATATTGCCGGACATAAACCGGTCTGTTTCACAAAAAAAGGTTGGGGACTGCTGTTCTTACTAACTGTCCTCCTCCTTCATCCTTCATCCTTCTCTCTCTCTCTTTCATTTTCTATATTCATGAATTCCTTAAAGTACTGCCTCCATCTTCTCACTGCCTTCTCTTCTCATCTTCCTCTCCCTTACACAACCCTCCACATTTACCTGAGCCTGACCACTCCCACCACCCCCCATGCCCGTGCCCCCAAGTGGCTGGGCTAGACCACGAGTAAACTAATACAGACAACAACATTGAAACAATGACTGAGGGAACATGGGAAGCACAGGAAAGAAGAATCTTTAAAACACACACAGACGCATGCACAGACACAGAAATAAAGAACAGAACAACAGATGATGTGAGATTTTGAGATTTCCCTCTAAGCTCATTTCAATGATGTAAATATAGCCTGCTTGTAGTACCTTCCACTG